GAAACCTGCGTTCCTGCTTTTCTGAATGCAAACATAGGAGATGCAGCTGTTCTGCTTTTTTCTGTTTCATGACCAGGGCTGTGCCTATCTCGGCCTACAGATGAAAGCAATTAAGCCTTATCTCCTTGCTTACTTTCTCCTGGGCTTTTCATAATCTGCTCTCCACATTGATGGACATTTTTCTTATTCTCTTTACTGTCTCTGCACTGGCAATAATAGTTAAAGACTTGATTAAATATTTTGGCAAGTATACTTCTTACACTACACTGGCTATATCCTATCAAGTTACATCAGGAGGCACAAGATGGTGCTTGTGTCAACAACGCTGAAGTTGACCCTTTAAGGGTGGAGCCATTGTATCTTTTAACACTGTGTTTCGTTCATTGATTTTTGTTTTCAGGTGCACTGATTTTCCTTTATGTTGGTTGTTTTTTAATCCCATAGCCATATCTTTATCTCAATTTCTTTATTTTCATTGTTTTTTTTTTCTCTCCATGCTCTGTGGTTTTACTCAAGCCTTTTCTTTCTACCATATTTACTGATTTGAGTTTGAGTCGTGTTATTCCAGTCTTTGCTGTTCCTATTTTTTCCTAATTGATTTGTCTGCAGCCTCCCTTTTCGTTGAATCCTGTTTTGTCATCTTTGGTATTTTTGTTTCACTGATTACGTATTCTCTTTAGGGTCTCCTAGAGCAATGTTACCCAAAGTGCTTGCCATGGTGACATCAGCATCATACATCAGAAGATAAAGCATGCTTCTTCCTTCATTGTCTTGCTATGAAAAAACACCAGCTGGTCTAAGCAGCATACTCCCTGGGGTAGTTGACTGACATCCTGGCACAATCTCCTTGTCTCGAACTGGTAACAAACAGTTCAGAGGCTGGCAACTTGTTCATAGACTGCATTTTGAGTAGCACTATCCTAGCACAGAAATATTTGTTTTATAAATTTTTGTTTAGCTTCTTTGTTATGTATTTAATAACAATAATAGCTGCTAACAGTTAGTAAGCACTTACTATGTGACAGGCACTGTTCTAAGCCATTCTGCTCTCCATAAAAACCCAAAAGAAGGTACTGTGCTTATCATCATTTTACAGATGGGGAAATCAAAGCACAAAGATATTGAGCAACAATAAGTCACAGTCATTTCTAGCACAGCTGGGATGCATACTCAGGCTGTCTGATTCCGTAACACACTGCCTTAATGAAAATGGATTTTTAAATTTGTCTTTTGTATGCTATGATTCTTTTTTTTAATGTCCTTTTTTATTTCCTGTCATGTTTTTGCAAACTTGCTAGAGCATATTTTCCTAGCATGTTGCTCTTTTCACTCCATTACTCCTATTTATTTATTTTTTTTTTTGGCCTTTTCTTTTTTTGTGCTGGGATCGAACCCAGGGCCTCACGCATGCTAGGCAAGCGCTGTACCACCGAGCTACATCCCAGCCCATTATTTTTTAATTGAATCTTACTTTGTAAGGCTGGAGATGGAATGCAGGACCTCACATGTCCTAGACAAGCACTCCACCCCTGAGTGACACCCCCAACTCTACCCCTTTTAATGTAGGAATTCTGTTAGGGCCTCTTTTACGTAGGTATAGCCTGGATATATTCAGGGCTCTCCTTCCTCTTACCTCAGAGTTGTTGATCTTCCTTTCAGAACTTTAATGGTTCCATTCTTAAAGGTTATGCTTTTCCACATATCTTTTGTTTGAGGGGATGTGATTAGCTCAGTAGGAATTTGGACTTAAATCGTTTCTGGGACAAGGGGAAATGGTGAGTGTCATTCTGTGAATTTAAAAACAAAACAAAACAATGGCTCAGACCTACACAAAGCAATTTGGCAAAATCTGTCACTTAAAAATTTATTTGACTTTTGATGTAGAAATCTCACTTGGGGGCATTGTTCTACAGAAAAACTTGTACACATGTGAAGTGACTTGTACAGAGTTGTTCATTGCAGGATCATTCATAATTATAGACCAGAAACAACTTCATATCCAAGAATGACTAAGATCTATCACATACTAAGAAATGATGCAATTGTGAGAGCAAGAAAGCTGTCCACCTGCTGACAGGTGAGGACAGAATATTAAGGGAAAATGTATGTCACTTTGTGCACTGCTGTTTGGCATATACATGAATAATGACACCTTTTTTGAAAAAAGGAAAGAAAACTAAGACTACACACAGTATTCATAAGAAACAATGGAAAGACACAGGAAAAAGAGTCTCCAGTAGAAGTGATGGAGGTGAGGCCAGGATGGATGGGGACAAGAAGATATAAGACTTTCCAAAATAAACATTTCAAAGGTAGTGTTTCAACTGTTACCTTTTAAAAAGAAAGTGCATTTAAAAATGTATACACGTTTTTGTTCCTGCAACCCTTATCTCATGTGGCTCTGCCTAGGGCCTCTTCACCCTCCTTTCTGTTTGGGTCCTGCGAAGGTGAAAGCTACCTGCTTTAAGCCAGTGCTGACTGTCCCTAGGGAAGAAGGCTTTGAGAAGAGGCTTTCCAGAACCATTTGCCAACCTCCCTTTCCTTCAGCTTCCATACCATTCTTCTGCTCTAGTAAGCCCTCTTTCTTGGCAGAGTTACTGCTCACAGTAATAAATCAGGTCCCCCACCCCTTCTTCCCAGCCCCAAGAACAGCAGTGATGAGCCTCAACCATCATCCCACTCAGGAGTCATGATGGTGGCGGCAAAAGCCATCTCCAGCACATGACTTTCCACAGCTTCTTCTCTTGGCTATCTCTCCTTATCCCTCTCTCCAAGTTGGGTTGCAGGGATACTTTTCAGATGTGTCACTATCTTTCTTCTCTGGTCTGATTAGGTGGCTAAGAGTGGTTCTACTTTGGTATAGCACGTCATAGATTTCTGAAGTCTTTTACTCTTTTTTGCCAATTGGTATTTAAGAAAAATAGGGCATTCTTTTTGTTTATTTTTATTCATTTCAAAAAGTTTTGTGATCTGGCTTGACACACAGTTTATCTTAGAAGTATTTGGTAGTCTGTGAATATCAAGTACACTTGTCTGTACCCACAAGTGACAAAGATACTCATGTTAAGTTGGTACAAGCCTATTTCAGTGAAAAGTGGAGATCGTTTTACTTGATACTACGTGGATAGCTCCCTCCCCTCTGGATAGTTTAACAATTGTTTTCTTATTCAGGGGAAGCTTCTTCTGCAGCTTTTCATAATGCAGTAACAAAAGCCAGCAGTGACTCTTAACCAATGAAGAGGATCCAAATTAATTTGGTTTTATTATTTGGGGTGCATTGATATCACATTTTAAAGCTTTGTCCCTTAGAGTATTTCCTGGTAAATAGCACAGGGTAACATGGAGCCAGAACCTCTGTCCATTAACGTGAATGATGGGCAGCAGCCAGCACTTAACCCTTTGGTGTGCATCAGAATGAAACTCTGTGATTTTCCTTATTTTTTCCTAACGTATCAGTTTTCCTCACTCTTTTGTTTTTTGTCTAAATCTGAATTATTTAGGTATATGTAGCCTATATCAGTATAAATCTAATTATAATTTCTTTTTGAGCTCTGGTCTTTGCCCATAGACAGTATATAAAAATGCTCACACCTGTAATCCCAGCTACTCAGGAGGCAGAGATCAGGAGGATCGAGGTTCAAAGCCAGCCCAGGCAAATAGTTAAAAAAAATCCCATCACGAAAAAGGACTGGTAGAGTAGCTTGAGGTGTAGGCCCTGAGTTCAAGCCCCAGTACTGGAAAAAAAAAAAAAACCCTAAATGCTCTGGAATACAGCCTGTGGCCCATATTTGAAAACATAAAGCCTGTATTTATCTACTCTAAATTTTCTGTCTTTTGAGAAAAGACTGTCCCTTGAATCTGCCTAGTTGGGGGGTATTATTAGTAACATTCCAACATTTTCTGAAGTTATTTAAATTAGATTCACATGGAACACTATTCTTTTCAGCTGATGTAATTCTTCTACTCTGAATTTATTTTGGTTTTTTTGTGGGGCAATATGAAATAGTTTAATATACAGATAACTAGAGTCCCACAGGTATATGAGAGGACAGTGGGGAAAACACTACTTGAACAAATAATGACTGATAATTAAACAAAATAATGAAGGAAATCAAATAACATACCAAAGAAGTGCAAAGAATCCTAAAGCATGATATATATCAAAAGCAGAAATAAATTTAGAATAGAAAGCAAAAGCATAAAAACAACATACTTAGATGCATCATGGCCAATTTAGAATTTCTGATAATAAAAGAATGAATGTAGACTACACCATTCTTTGCTGATTCCACTGAAGAAAACTGCAAGACTTACTGGATTTTGCTTCCAAATTGAGCTGTTAATTTTTTCCAGGTGAATAAATATGTCTTCTTCAGTAGTTGGGGTAGTTGACTAGGAGTCTCTGGAAAAAGACTTTTCATACATCCTAATTTAATGTCTTCATCATCAGTTCCACCACCACAATCATGCCTGAACCCAGACAAGCAACTCAACCCTCAGCCTGTGAGTCCTGGCCATCACTGAATTTGACATTGCAGACCTTCTCTTTATGCCGACTTAGTAGAGTTGCTACCAATATCTTTAGGATATTTGGGTCCTATTTTGTATTTGTGTTTGATACAAAGGTAAATTTGTGTTTAATATTTGAATATTCTGTTTCTTTAGATTATTGTGGTTCTAGGCTACACAGTGATTTGATGGGGAAATTGGGTTTAAACTCCATATGCCTAGAATGGTATGTTGCTTTTTCACTGAAAGACTGAAGCAGTCTCCAAATGTCAACTAGGAGCCTCAGTTTCACTCACAATCGATGTTCTGTGGAAGTCCTGTAAGGCTCACAGGAAGCCAGTACTTTAGTCTGCCAGTGACCTGCTTGTCATTTCTTTCTTAGGACCTCTGCCTTGTACTCTTTTTGAGGTTCACAGGTGGAATGAAACTTTTCATTTGTAATGTTTTTGATTAAATTAAAATATTCTCCTGCTTTGTTTTTTCTCCTTTCAGATTGAAAAATAAATGCTGAGAAAGAAATAAAGCTCCCTCCTCTGCCTTGGACTCTTACCATGGGTATTGGGAAGTCTAAAATCCATACCTGCCCTCTTTCTCTCTCTTGGCGTAAAAGCCACAGTGGGGACACAGGTCAAGGCCATCATGAGTCACAGTCCAAGAAATGTGACGATGTCCCCTTGTGTGATGGGCAGCATGGCAATACGACAGAGCAGCTGACAGGAGGGCAGGAGGGAGCTGAGATGTTAGAAAAGATGCTTGAAGAAGAAGCAGAAGAAGTCTTCCTCAAATTTGTGATACTGCATGCAGAAAATGACACAGATGAAGCCCTCAGAGTCCAGGAACTGCTACAAAATGACTTTGGTATCAAGCCTGGAATGATCTTTGCTGAGATGCCATGTGGCAGACAGCATTTACAGAATCTAGATGATGCCGTGAACGGGTCTGCGTGGACAATCTTGCTCCTGACTGAAAACTTTCTAAGAGATACCTGGTGTAATTTCCAATTCTACACGTCCCTGATGAATTCCGTGAACAGGCAACACAAATACAACTCTGTCATTCCCATGCGGCCCCTGAACAACCCCCTGCCCCGGGAACAGACTCCTTTTGCTCTGCAGACCATCAATGCCTTAGAGGAAGAAAGCTGTGGCTTTTCTACACAAGTAGAAAGAATTTTTCAGGAGTCCGTGTACAAGACACAACAAACCATTTGGAAAGAGACAAGAAACATGGTACAAAGGCAATTTATTGCCTGAGAAGAAACACACACACACCTGGTTGGCTTCTGTTTTGTAAACCAAAGGCTTAATCTTCACTTGAGAAATTTAAATAAAAGAGAGCCTGTTCTTACAGAAGCCCAGGGAGCAAAGAAAGATACATTTCTGCAGGACTACAATTGTGGTACTTTCTGATGTTTCAATAAACACGAGATTGTCAGAGTTTTAAGAACATTTCTCTCACATTTTCCTAGTTCATGGTTACAAGCAAATTATCTCAATTCATATTCCTTGCTTTGAACCATGAGTAAAAATGTGGATGGAAGGCATTTTTTAAAAATGTGGTAATACGTTCATTCTCTGAATTTTGTTCTCAAAGGACATGAAGAAAATGGCTCCACCAGGTCGACCAATCCTTCTTAAGGCACCTCCTGAGAATGTCACCACAAGGCATCCCAGGTACTGTCACCCAGGAATACGGATTGCCAGATTATGTCCATCCAGTTGAATTATTTCCTTTTCTGCTGGAATTTGTGTATTTTGAAGCCGTTCCCACCACTGAGGGGCAATCCTTTTGAGAATGTGGTATTTAGGGACTTCACGCTATTGGGACTCAGCAGGAAATGTTCCCAACCTAAAGCTCTCATGTTAGTCCTCATCTGTAAGCAGGGTTTCTTGCAGAGCTTCTGAAAAGTGTGTGATTAGCTAGGCATTTCCATGAAAATCAATAACCTCTTCTACAGTAGCCTTTAACAAACTTCCCTCACACATAGCCCTCTACTCAGGAAATGTTTTTCATCTAGGTGGCCTGACACGTGTGTGTGGTGTAGATTATTTTTTAAAGACTTGGAATAGAAGTAGTAAAAGTAGGAGATACATTTTACCTTTTCTTTCTTCTTTTTTTTTATTTGGTGGGACTAGGGTTTAAACTCAGGGCTTTATTCTTGCTAGGCAGCCACTCTTACCACTTGAGCCTCACCTCTGGTCCTTTTTGCTCTGGTCATTTTGGAGATAGGGTCTCGTTTTTTGCCCAGGCTGGCCTGGACCATCAACTTCCTATTTTCAACTTCCTTCTGTCACTGGAATGATAGCCATGTGCTACCATTCTCAGCTATTGACTGAGATGAGCTCTCTGAAGGTCTTTGCTTGGGCTGGTCTCAAACCATGCTCCTCCTGATCTCAGTCTCCCAAGCAGCTTGGATTACAGGCATGAGCCACCACTGCCAGGTGGCTTACCATCTCCTCCTCTCATGCCCCATGCTTATCACAAACCAGAGAGGCCCAAGCAGACCTGTTTCTTTCCTTCACGGCCCTCTGCCCAGCTCAGATCAAGGACACACTGTCAAGTACAGATTAGGGCAGAACAGAGAGTAAGTCATGCCATGCAATGAAAAAGCTGGAGACCTAGTTCCAGTTCAATCTCTGACTCTCAGGATGAAAGTGACAGTGGGCAAACCACTTACTCTCCTTTCTCTGTGAAATGAAAGGGTCAGATGGATCAATCTCCAAAGGCTTCTGTCCTCTCCCAGGACATAAAAACTAGGAACCAGAAAAGGGAACAAGCAAAGAAAGAATCTTATAAGGTGACATTTAATGTAATCATTGCAGCAGGCTTTATATTCACATACAATGACAACATATTTTGTATATTTACATCAGAATTGATTTTTAATGTCCATTCTACTTTTATAGTCACAGAAAATTATTATGCATACTTACTCAATTTCTAAATACATTTTTATGGGGCCCGTAAATAAAGACATTGTTCCTAATTTTTTCTCCTTATTCCCATTTCTCTGTATCCCCTACTAGTACTGGGGTCTTCTCACATCTTTTTATAATGCACCTCTTCATAGCTACAAACCAAAATGTCCTAGGAAGAGTAAGTCAAACCAGCTATTCTGTTGTTCTTATTAGAGGAAGGATTGCCTTCATTGCATGGTGACAATTTCTTAACCTTGACATCTTTTTTTTTTTTTTTGTCATAGAAGCTTACAACTCACTTTTCTTTTTAGGTTTTGATAAATATTCATTTTTATCATAATGCTTCCTGTATCTCAAATTTCATGTAATAATAAAACATTAACCACTCACCTTTCATGTCTGCCAAACTGGAATTAATGCTGGATTGCATTTCTTAAATAAATGTTTTTATGCTCTACCCTTGACTAAACTTGACGATGCCTGACTCCAGTGAAGACTGGAAGAGTGTTTTGAGAAGAAGCATCAATCTGTACTCCTCCAGAGAATACCAGACACAATGTCTCAGCCAATTTGGAGTTCAACATTTTTTTATGCCGAAGAAAAATGTTAAGTGCTGAATAACTGTATGTGCTGAAATTAACAGTTGTAGAAGGGATTATTAAAATAGCTAACCTAAGGATGAAGAGAGGTAAAGGTGTGGGCTTCGGTTATGTGCTTGTGGGCATGTACACATATGTTCACATACACAGATCTAGATATGCACAGAGAAATTCTGGCAATTCTGCCACATGCTGGGGAGTTTCCATTCTGAGCACTCAGTATCTCCCACCCTGCAGCTTCCCCAGGAGGATTTGAGTTGTGTGTTATGTGTCATGTAGGAAAACCCAGTACCACATAGCCTAAACAATAGATAAGATTAAATGAGATAGTTAAAATTAAATGAGATAGATGAAAAGTGTTGCCGAGACACTTTTAATCTGCAACATGGGGTGTGGGAGAGGGAACGTATGCATTTATGCCTACCCACAGCCCTAATTCTGGAATGCTAGCAACTTGTAGGGATCCTAGGTCTTGCTTCCGAGTGCAGTACAGTTCCTAGTGGGCACTGAAAAGACACAGGTGTCCCTTATCAGCCAGAGAAGTGTGAGCTGTTAACTGGTGGTGGGTATGTGTATGAGTGTGAGTGTGGAGAAGGCTGGTGGCAGGGAGGAAGCAACAGCAGGGCCCCACACCTATAAGTTAGGAAGTTGGGCCATAAACTCAAAAAATGGAGTCTAGGCGTGCCGGCTTTGAAGTCAGTTCAGGGGGGAGAATGGCTCAATGTGGGTGCATGCAGCTGTCTTTTGTGGATTGAATCTGTCCACATTTGAGTTCAGGCAGACGTGATATAACCCACTTAATTTAGCCTTTTCAGGGGTTCAGCAACTCTCAGAGAGTTTTGCCTCATTTGGGAATAAATGAGGTTGGACTGTTTCCCCAGGTTTGGGCAATAGTTAGGCTAATAGAATCACTGAACAACTTTGCTCCTTCCTCCTTCCTACCTGACTTGATTGTACACTGTGTTTAACAGGTTGCTTGCTTAGGTTAATCCTTCCCAGGGCAAGTCAGGACTGTTTTCTACCTCAGCCCTTTGTCCTTCACCTTTGCAAATCCCAAAGCATTAGCTGGGCTTTAGGGTGGAGCTGAAATCTCCTTCCTACATGGGGTGTTGTGCCACTAGTGACAGAGGCAATTTCCTTGGGCCCTGTCACCTGCTGCAGGGAATTCCTAAACACCAAGGCTGGTTGTGGCTGTGGCATTGTCCCAAAGACTGAAAAAGTTCAAGGATAGGCTCTCAGGTAACAAGTACGAAAGACATAGACGACATCTTGCTGAGCCATATCTCTGCCCAGCAGCAGATCCTGCAAGAATGAGATCAAAGTGATTTATTTTTAAGAAATGAAATCCTAACACTACATATTACCTATTAATTTGATATATTGCATGGACAACAATACACTTTGCCCTGTCATTTATTATTAGATAGCTGTACAGCTGTGGTTTATAAATTTTAATGTGGATATGAATCATTTGGAGTTACTTAGCAAAATATTAATTCCTGGGTCCCCAGAGATTTTGCTTCAATCAATTAACAAAGAACCTCAGAATCTATGTATTGAGCAGGCTCTATAGAAAATCAAAGTGTGATCTTTATGGACTTCTTTTGCAGAGAAGTCTGAGTTAAGGCCCAAATCCCAGAGGGTTTACCCCAGTTCTTTACTGTGCAGTTTGAAGGTAAAACATCTCCATGCAGTTAACAAAACTATATGCTGCACTGCTGAGTCAGGCTATTTCCGACTAAGTGAAGCCAGATGACCTGTGATGAGGTAGGGGTGGGATTCTGTGTTGTGTTGGCCCTGGCAGTCAGCATGGTCTCTGTGGCGTTCCTCTTCTTTACAGTCTTAGGTCTGTTGTGCTGTCACAGCCGTGACTGTACCCTTCCTTCTTCTGGTAGTGTGAGGGGTAAGGAGGAAACTGCAGAAAGCTGTTGAGCACCTGGTGAAATGAAATGACAGCATCTGGAAATTGACATCCTTTAGCCAGTGACTAACAGGAAGGAAAAAAAGAACCCTTGTTATTGTCCATGAACCTGGTGTTTCTTACGAGATCCAAGTAGAAACTTTGAACATTCAGTGACTGGACAAGAATTATATTATGTTATAAATTCTCAGTAAGTTATATTTGGCAATCCTCGTTGTCAGTTAACACATTAAGTTTGAATTAGGGTAAGTAATATTTGAAAATGCCTTTAATTAATAACTCAGCATGAAAATTACTTGACTAACCTCAACAAGTTAACTCATGAAGAAACCAAGGCGTTGCTCTGTCTTCCTTGCCAGTGTGCTGGCTTAACAACTGTTTCTCCCACTCCTTACTGCTTTACACCTCCCATCCTTTCTGGCATGAAAGACATCTTTCTCAGATGCAGCACACCTCACATTCTCTTCAGATATAGTGAGTTTTGAGTCATTCTGCTCTGAGGGGAATCAATGCAGATGCTTTCTTTAGCAAATAACAGGATCCTACATTTAAGCAGTTTCATAATCTAATCAGGACTGTTCCAGCCAGTTATTCAAACTTCAGGTTTAAAATAAGGAAATTCCTAGAAACTAGCTCCTTCCAGGAGATTCCCATGACTATATCAGAAAGACACAAATCAAGCTCTACATATTTATGTGCTTTATTTATATTCATAAATGGTACCATGACATGAAGATGTTCTGCAATTGGATCTTGACAATGATAGTGCACAACTCTGCAAATACACCCAAATCATTGAGCTGTCCACTTTACATGGTAAATTTTATGATATGTAAAGGATATCTCAAAAGAACCTTACAAAAATGCAAGCAAAAGCAACAGCAAAATCCCACAGTGATTCGGAAACAGAATCTGGTGATGGCTAGTAATGTTGAAGGTAAGCATGTCTTGTGAACCTAGCAATTCTGCTTCTGGATGTGTGTCCTACAGGAAACCTCCCATAGGTACCAAAAGAAACACATGTCAGCAGAATGCTATTGCAATGTTTTTATAATGATGAAAATTAAGAAACAATGTAAATGTCCTTCTGTAGGCGAATGCAGAAATACAGTAGCACCAGACAAACACTATATAACATTTCCAATAACTAGCCAAGCTGCACATATGAACACAGGTAAATCTCAAAAGTGTAAGTCTGGCGGGGGGCAGGGAGGTAAGCTACAGTATGATATGGATAGTCTGATGCCATTTACATAAAATTTTAAAGCATACAATTTAAAGAACCATGTATTGGTGCTGGTATACACTTTTCATGCTCTTCTGTATGTTTGAACTAGTTCATAACCATTTTTTAAATTAGTACACACTTGTAGTCATGTTACGTGCTTTAGAAATTCCTTATGCATGCAGTAATTTGAAGAATGAAAAAAAAGGAAGATTGCCAACAGATGAATAGTTGGAGAGATCCATGGTGGTGACAATAGGCTTCATCTTTTATCACCTACTGTGACAGGCACTTAACTTTTATCTTCAATATTGCCCAGGTTCCTATGTAGCTAAGTCTTATCATATCCAATGCTGGCCCCAGGATAGCGAGGCTAGAGGTATAAGTCATATACTCAAGATCACAGCCAGTGGATGATGGAGTCATGGAAATATCCAGTGATCTGGCTCCAAAGCCTGGTGGTTCTTACTCTGTAACTCTGCTTCTCATAGGATTTGCCTGCTTTTTCTGTGAGAGAA